TTTCAGTTCAATGCTAAGCAAATCCAACAAATAATTCAAATTTCTAAAATCCGGTAGTGAAAGATTGCTAAATCAAGATTCTTCAAACGAATAAGTAGATTGAAATGTTACATAATTATTGATATTAAAACCCATTAAAGAGACCATTATCATCTGTTCTTTATTATATTGATACATTTTTCACCCTCAATTTCATATGAATGTAAGTAATTCAATCATTTTGTTACGTTAAATCATCCGTAAACAATCATTGTCATTAAATCCTCAGCAAATACATACTGTGTCTATAATGTTTGTCCACAAGGGATTTATTTACGAGATTGTGACTGATAGTAATTTTATCTTTTTAATTTAATTAAATAAATTTTTGATTTTTTTGTGTGCCTTCATCTCCTTTAAAGTTTCAAACAAAATGTTTTATTCTATTTCTAAATTAAATTGTTTTGGTTTATCTTGGGGATTATTCCTTTTTTTTTGTGCCTGCCTTTTTCAGAATTGCAATAAATTTTAGATGAGCTCTTGGGAATGAAGTGTAAGCATAAACTTTTTCGTAGCTAAAGAAAAGAATTTTTCAAGTGCATGAACGTATATAATCAACCAGTAAGAATATGTTTATGTTACAATTTTCAATTTTCTAGTCATTTTGATAACATGCTGCTGCTTATGTGTAGATTGTGTTCTGCCATAAATAGGGATGTAGAATGAAAAAAATAAGTTTTTTTGTCTGGAGTGAGGAAAATTTGTTTACAGTGCAATTTACTATTTAGTCACAAAATATTCATGGCTTTTATTAAGCAAAAAAGGATAGTATCTAAAGGAACAGCAATGGCGAAATTTTCATTTTTATGAAATCATCCAGGATTACCTCAAAAGTTGAATTACTGGATGTCTAATAAGAGCCAAATGAAGCCTTATAATCTTGATGCAAAACGTAAATCCTCAAGAAATCTCACATCAAACAACCAGTCTCAACCATACAAACATATTTTGAAGGGTAAGCAGCAACCCCTTTTTACTAAACATCTCATAAAAATTTTACGAACCAAAATTACATTCGTATACACCAGAAAAACAGGAGCAATTGAAATTTTATGACTCAGGGAAGGGATAGATAATCGAATAGACGATGATGATGTTGTGGCATGGAAATACTAATGTAGAAAATTATTAACTTTTGTGTAAGGATTTCTTTCAGATTATCTGAGGATTATTAAGAGTCATAAACAAAAGAAGATACAACAATAATTATCAAATTAAGGAAAGGTTCATAAAGTTGTAGAAAGCAGTTAAGCTACCACAATGAAATTTATCAGATGACAGAAGAGAAATGAAGGATTGGATAATTTAATTTTGGAGCTGGATTTGCTGAGAGTTATGTTTTGTTAAGGTTTTGTGTTAAGATTGAGTTTTGAAGGACTGTATGATTTTTCTACGTGATTTTAAAAAATGCGAATCAAAAGTTTTTTTGAAAATTTTGTTCAATAGACGCAAAGGCAAATTTAAAGATTCAAAGACGAATTCGAAGATACAAAGGCAAATTTAAAGATGCAGAGACGAATTCGTAGATGCAAAGGTGATTTCAAAAGATTTAAAAGCAGATTCAAAATATGCAAAGGCAAATTCAAAAGATGAAAATACAAATTTAAAGACGCAGAGTAAAATTCAAACAATCAAACATTTAAATATTATTAAGAATTGTTAAGAATGCAATTTCTTGCATCTTTTTAATTTTTTGTGATGCGAATAAAATTTTCCAATCTTCGAAAAATGCGCTCAACTATAACAAAAAGCGACAGACACAAAAAAGCTGTGGTAAGTGATGGAAAATTCCTATTATCTCATTTATTAATTTCCATTCTTATAAAGATATTGTATGCCTGTGACACAGCAAGGAGTACGGCATTATTGCTGTGAATGAGTGAGAGCAAACACACAAAAAAGAGAAAGCTGAGAATAATTGCAATTCATTCATGATGATAAACACAAACTTTCTCATTTCAGACAAGACAAAAAAAAAATCATTAAGGCAGACGGAAATATTAAATGTATCACATTTCTCGTACGAAATGAATGATGAGGAAAATTTGAAAATTAGGAAAATGGCTTTCAATATTTCACAAGATTATTGTTGTTGCTGTATGTGCTAGAATATTGGCATGCAGGGCAAAAAATGAAGATTTCGACAAAAAAAAGTTTTTCATGAAAAATGGAAGGAACTTTTCCATGTTCATTTTGAGTTTCCATAGCATTCTAAGTGCCTCTCTTTCTCCTACCGTCAATATGAATACGATACAGCAACATTCGAAATTTTTTCCATTTAAGGATTTTCTTTCCGTCTTCTTTTTCCACTTCCTTCATTTTCAATGATCTTAATGATGAAATTGGTTCGTTAGGAATTTTTTTTCCGTGCTCAAAAAGTATGAAGGAAGCACATCCACATGCGCATTTTTTTTTCTCTACCATTCGTTATCACTAAATAAGGAGATGTTTATACCCCATATACACACGATACTACCACTTCGATGGCAGGAGAGAGAGAGAGGGAAAAATGCTCGCAGTTAAATTTTATCGTTCTTGTCTTTATCTGATGCTATTTTATGTATATAGAGAATGGCTATTCGAAACAAACAAAAAAACATCTCTCATACACAGCAGGATTCAAAGCTAATGGAAAGTTGTGCTTGTAAGGACATAAAATTAAGGGCGGATGAGCGAATAACAAGATAATTAAAAATCCTTTTCCAGCTGTTTGTGGAAGTGGAAAATTGAAAAAAAAAATTCACGTCTTTCAAAGCTGCTCGCTCGTTTTTGATGTAACAATTTTTATATAAAAAAGATTTTTATTTTCTTTTTTTTTCATTTTCGAATTCATTCCCGAGCTACTTTTGTGACATTTATATTTTCTATATACAGCATATGTACACACGATAATGGAGAATGAGAGATAAAAGTGTTAATTGAAAGAACTTTGGAATGTCGACATGTCAGGCGATGTCACGAGATTTGATTCGCTTTTATCATTTTAATTCTTTTATGTGCTATGAATAAGGGAATTGAGGAAGATTGAGGTTTGACGAATGATCAAATTTGATGGTTCTTGATGTTACAGGCAGTTGAAATACTAACTGAATTTGTGCTGAATTAAGCTAATTTAGCTTGCTTAATTTAGCTAGTTCAGCTAGTTCAATTCAGCACTTGAATTCAGCTGGTTCAATTCAGCACTTGAATTCAGCTGGTTCAATTCAGAACTTAAAATTAGCTGGTTCAATTGAGTACTTGAATTCAGCTAGTTCAATTCTGCTAATTTAACCAATTCAATTCAGTTGATTCAGCTAGTTTTGTAAAGCTCCGGGTTAAGCTAATTCAGCATTTGGTCTCAAAACTGTATTTTTTCTTCAAAAATCAGCATAACCATCCAGAATAGTCAAAGAAAATTCCAATAAAATAGACATTAAACAAATAATTTTAATCAGAACTCATTATGCAGTATTTTCGTGTAGGTATGGACATAAATCAGATCATCGAAAAATTGAAGGAAAAAAATATTTGTTGGATGTAACCAAAATCAAATTTACTTTTGGACGAACATAATAAAATCAAATTACATCATTAGACCACAAAAAACAATGCGAATAGTGGAATAGTATGGAAATAGCATTAAAAATTCTAATTTCATGCTCTATTTCAACAAATTTTAATTAAAATTCCACCATCATCGTAGGATGAATCAAAATAATTTGCAAATATTAGAAAATAAAATGTTAGAAATTTGTTGCTATTGGTTGGATAGTCCGTGGTCCATTTTTTAAATTAATTAAAACGAGAGTGAGTGAGGAAACTATTCAAAATAAATTCTATATTGTCCACTGGCATTCATACTGACAAAAGCACCGAACACACACAAAATAAAAAATATTTTTAATTAAAATCGCGACAATGGCGTGACTCATGAGAGGCACAAACAGCACAAAAAAATTCTCAATTATTTTAATTTTTTTTTTTACAACTAAGTGCCGTTTCGCTGTTTCTGCTGTTGATTGACAGCATAACAAGCTCTCAGGGAAAAAAACAACTAATAATTTTATTATTTCATTAATTTGCAGCGTCAAAAAAAGGAACAAAAAAATTGGCAAAAAGGAACAAAATTGTTTGATTTTTCGCACATTCATTTAAGTGATATTTGATCTTCTTTTCAGTTTGTTGGCCTATTTTTCAATGGTGTGAGATTAATTTTTCGCACTACAAAATTGATAAACAATGAGAACATGTTCAGATCTCATATTTCATTCAAACTTAAGCAGTTCTATTTACTCAGCTTGCTTATTGTCTAGAATTTATTGTTTAATTGGCAAATTCACCTGCATATTTCTACTTCTATCCTTTATGTACATGAGAAAACCTTATGTACGTACAACATATCGAGTTTCTGTTCATTTCAAACAAGACAAATGTGACAGACTTTTTCACGTACACTCTTCATTCATTTTCTTTCTGTCTGTTCTTCTTCTTTTTCAATCGAATCTTTTGTTTTTAAAAACATTCTCTTCATTGCTATGTCAAACTTAGAGGGGTTGTTCGTAAATGAGGTTCCTTGCGAAATTATATTTTTTAAAATGAATCTATTAGGGATCGTTCACTTATGACGTCCGAAATTAACGGTCATTTTTAAAAAAAGAACAATGGATTTCCAGGATTTTCTATTGTTCTTTTCTTGATGACCCCCCCCCCCCCCCTTGGACGTCATAAGTGAACGGCCCCTTAAATATTAAACAGCTCTAAAACCCCATTGAAAATCATTTGACGTAACAAGTGAACAATCCAATGTCTACATACATATCTATGAAGACAATAGAATAAAAATCTGTCACATTCTTATGTTAAAAACATCAGTCAGCGCTTTTTTTCGAAGAAAATTGCTTTTTAATTTTTTTTCTTTTCATTCTAATTGACAATTAAATAATTATGGCTGACGCCTTTCAAATAAAAATTATGCAACTCACTTGTATCCTATCCTCGGGTAGATCTGTCTTTAAAGATAACATTTCGCGGGCATAAACGTCTGAAATAATGAGAATTTAATGATGAAATTAGATAATTAATGTTACTGAATATAATTAGAAGTGTTCATTAAATCATTACCTGGATAATGAGCCTCTTTAAATGCCTTTTCAAGTTCATCTAATTGATAGCTTGTGAAAATTGTTCGACTGAAATTATGAAAGAAAAATTCTTCAATGCGGAAATGGGTGGAAAATTTGTTATTTTTACCTGTGACGTCGCTTCTTTTTCTTCTTTTTGCTAAATCCATTAATTCCATCAACTGTAAACTCTTTGCTTGGATCTATTGGCTGTGCTGGAATGGGAAAAGGGATAAGCAATTTTAATTACTAAAGTTTTTCAAACGGAAAATTTAAATTTGAATTTTTAACGAGAATTTAGAATTTAAAACCTTTTTGAAACATATTTCAAATATCAAATTTCCGTTATAAGAATCGAAATGAAATCATGAAAACTTCATCATTTAAAATTGGAATTTCTGCAAATTTAATTCAATATCCAATCTTTCCCACCTCCACATCATTCCTCAAACCACTGAATCATTCACAAAATCAGCATTTCAAATATCTGAAATAGCTTGCTTATTTATCTATTTATCGATTATTCGATTTCTCTTTCTCATTTCATTTCAATTGGCAATTGCATCGTTTCGAGAATATTATTGAGAGAGCAGCAAAAAAAAAATGTCGCATCCCGATTAGCATATTATCTCGATTTCCTATTCAATACATTGAGTCTTTCCTATTGCATTTATAGATACACTCAGTCTTTATCAGATATGGATGGCAATTTGCATTTATTTTCATCAGAAACTAAAAAATGTCGCGAATAGAAAGCTCTGACATAGAAGCATAGACATCATCAGTAGCAATGTGTGAATTGAGATGGAATACATAAAGTTGTGTCTCCAATGTACCATCAATCATATCTAATAAAAATATTTTTCAATCATAAAAAAATGATGAGCCGTAAAGTTACTTTGGGGTTGTTTGCTACTGCTTATTTCCTCTTCCATTGCTGCTTGTTGTTACGATGGAACGCGAGAAGGCAATAAAAATAAATCTTCAATGTCGATGGATTTATGGAATGGCATGCGAGCTTGCGACAAAATAATAAGATATGAGGCAAAGTACACCCATTTCCTATTTAAATTTCCGTCAACAATTTTTTTTTTCGCAATGCTGTAGATTGGCAGTGATGATGTTGGATAAAGAAGAAATGGAAAAAAATTATCTATCTCAAAAAAGCTCTACTCGAGCAGAGATAATAACATTCAAATTGGCAATTTTCCTATTTATGATAAAATATGAATTCGAGATGTCGGCATCAAGAAATTCCTCTTCATCATCACTCTGCTTATATTTATTCCGCGTATTTTCAATACTTTTTATTCACTTGCTGTTTTTTTACATTCATTCAGGGCTTGGAAAATTCATGAATCTTTAATAGATTTGTTTACTGTTTCATCCCTGGATGTGCTCTCGCAACAGAGGGTGAAATTTTCATCATCTTCTTCCATCTCATCGTCTTAAATTCCATTCATCGTTATGTAGATTGAGATATTGATCCAAATTGAAGTATTTAAAGAAATTTCTTAGATTCGCAGATTTAAAACATTTCAGCATGTTATGAGGCATGGAAATTATTTTTAAAGTTTTAAATTCGTTATTAAGGAAAGTTTACGAATTAAGAAACGGTTGAAAAATTTTTGAATGAACATTTGCAATTGTAGTTGGATGCCCCTCTATAAATCTTCAAGAAGTAAACATTGAAAACTTGTTCAATGAAAAGTACTTTAATTTAATTATTAGACAAAATTACTTTAACTTAATTATTAGATTCTTCTTTAAGTTATTCTAGCTTACAGTCATCTTTAAAGAACTGGGAACGTAAATTTAGATATTGTTGCTTCCATTAAAAATTTGTTGTTAAAAATTTGTCAAAATTATCGATTAAAAGCCATAAATAAATGAAATCAAGGATATCATCATGAACAACTTCTACATATCAACAGTGGAAGATGAATCTCGAAAATTTCAACTCAGAAACAGAAAATTGCTTCAAAAAATAAAATTTAAGGATAATAATGTCATTTAAGTCATTGACAGTGATAACACAAGTGGGAATGGAAGTGCTAGATAGCATCATTTTCTAATTAAGTTAATGTAGCATAAGTACTTTCTCAGAATGGCTAATTCACTGCCATCTTTTTCGCCAGTCACTTTTATTATTCAAAATTAATTTTCTCTACTGCCAATTTCTTTCTTCGTCTACCATGCTTCTTACAAGTGGGAGGAAGCTCATTATGTTCTACTGGAAAATTCATCGACATTCAAAAAGAAGGCCATTAAAATTCAATTATAACATTGAATGGAAACCTGCTGATGACTGACAGACTACTGCTGTTAAATCTCATTGTTACACATTCAGACACTTTAGATATCTACATACTTGTTTATATAAAAATTAACTCAGACAAGTCAGTTTTAGTCAAGTCCCTCTCATTTTTAAGGCACACAAGGGGTTGAAAAAAATTATTCGTTCGTAAAATTTAATTGGCATTTAAAGGAAATATTCGAGTGTTGAAGTTTTCAGCTCGCATTTGCAAAATTGAATAATAAAAGTTATTGCGCCATCATACATGGATGTGAATATGTTCGCAGTAAGCTGATATTGTGGTGCTATGAAGTAAAAGCGCATTATTCGAGAACTCTGAGATCAACAAAGAGCTTAAAGTGGTAGTCCAGTTATAAAACATAAAATGAAAGATATGGATCACAATTAATGAATAAGGTCAGCAAAGTAAGTATAGCATCAGCATCAGGTGTCAATAGACAACCAGACAAAGCACTAACACACAATCAGAGCCATAAAACCAACCAAAAACACGATAAAAATGTAATTGAATCGTAAAAATGAAAATAATTTTTTGTGTCGCACTTTGAAAACTCTTGAAGCTCATTTTGGGGAAACGGTAAGAGAGAAAAATTTAATTCAATTGAAATTTACGCACGCGGAACTTTTTCTCTGCACACACATATTTTTTTTTTCCTTCCTTTTATTGCTGCTCATTATTTACTTACGAGCGACATTATGAGCTGTTTTTTGGGGAATTAAAGGAGATGAGTACTTTGCAGCCATTTTGAAAAAAAAAGTATTAAGGTAATTTTTCCTCTCTTTTATTTCCATTAATTAAAGGCATTTTTGAAAAGCAATCGTATACAAATATAATAATAAACGAAAATGTAATGTGTAATATAAAACTAATAATGAAATTCCATCGCATAATGATTTCATATTAATTCATTTACAATAGTCGAAGGCAGGCAAACAAATGAAATTTTTCAATTAATTGAAATGAAATTTACCGTAACAAATCGATAATAGAAGTAGGATCCTACACATATGCATGTAATTTTTGGGTATATTTACATGCCTGTTTATTGTAATCGATATCATGTCTGATTGTTTAGTTCCTCATTTTCTACAATGTGCATTTATGGACAATGGGCATTTCTGGTCCCTAAATTTTCGCTTCATTTCTTCCTTTCACCCCTCAACGGAACATTTTTCACCATCACACCGCACAATAAATGACCATTTTTTGACTTTAATTGAATTAACTCTAGTGAAAATATATACAGGAGAAATGTGCTGAATATCGCATGTATGTACAGGCCTGTTTTGCACAAAAGGCAAAAAGGGAAAGTTGAAAATTTATTGTAATTGGCAATTTAATCAAACATGCGGCAATAAATGTAGATTAATGGGCGTTTTGGGGACATTTAAATGCCTTTATATGGTTACTATGTGTTGACGAAGTTCCATGAAAGGTAAATTTATTTGTTGTGGACTTAAAGTTCGTTCATAATCGGTTTCAAGGTTGAGAGTTTACTGTTGCTACTTTTTTGTGTCCTTTAGACTTGCTTTGAACGTTGGTTCTTGTAAATTAGTTGCTAATTTGAGGAATTACTTTTTTAAGGTGGAGATTTTTGCATCAATTGAGAAGAAAAATTTGAAAAAAATCAGTTTCATTTTTTAAAGTTTGACACAAACAAAAGAGAATTGCGTACCTAGCAACGACGAAATCCCTTCATGACTAATTTTCTAAGACCAGCAGAATATCCCTCATAATGATTAATCTCCGTACAAACTTCATTTCTAATAACATTTCCGAGTAACAGGAAAAAGACCAATTTCGATAATCAGCTTACAAAACCAACCACGCTTGTTTCACTTTATCATGATTGATGAGGAGGGGAAACGATAAATACCAATTTAATTATCAATTTCAAGTGGATGTCTTTTGTGCCGCTTTCCAAATCTCTCTCGAAAACCATTCGCAGAAAAAATTGCTACTCAAAAAAATGTTTTTTTTTTTGCGTCTGTATGAGTAAGTGCCATTCAACAATCCACTTTTAGAATTGCCACAGTTGAGGAAATAAACCGTAGGGCTTAAAATCATCTGTAAAATTAGGTTGCAATACGAAAAAAAAAGGTTTTTTTTTGTCATCCACACACAGCACAAAAAGAGAAACAACAAAACGTAAAATGCGATTACAAAAAAGTGCGTAATTGGAAAATTTTATCGCTTCTTTATTGGATTGACTCTTATCGAAAAAAATACCATTTTTAAAGTCTCATTTTTAAAAAGGGACAAAATTCAATTACCGTAAATTGTTAACAAGTTTTTGTTGCTGTATGTGTAACTACCTCCCACAAAAAAAAAAAAAAATCACCCGCTGACTTTAACTTAGCTACCCACTTCTCAAAATTTGATAATTAATTATCGTTGTTGCTGTGCCTTGCTTTGTCTTGTTTTCTTTTTGAGAATGAGAGAAGAAAAATGGCAAAATGTAAAAAGAAGGAACAACAACAACAACATATACGCAAAGAATCTATATCGATTTTTTTGGCAGCCACATTTGCCGTTCTCTCTCTTTTTTCTACTCCAAAGAAGATTTTTTAATTGCCATTTATTTCTTCATTTGTGTTAGTGTCTTTATTTTGTTGAGCTGAATGGGGAAATATGGTTGTGTGATTTGTTGCTGTAGTCGCCGACCATATGACATTTGTCAATTAAGGAACTATTTCTATTGAAAATTAACATTTTTTTGTGGGTAATATGATAAATTTTTGAGATAATTTTGCAATAATCGTACCGAAAGGAAGCAGATACTTTATCATATCCAATTCATCTCAACACAAATTGTATTGAATTTCAAGTTTTCTGCTTCTTTAATGGCACAAGGCTATTTGTCATTGAAAATTGATTGAAATTTGAGATTTTAATTGGAAATCACTGACTATAATTGCTGTTATTGTTTGATAATTGCTTATTTTCTTCATTTTGTAAGGCAATGTACTTGTTTTGTGCAATTTTGGGACGGAAATTTTTACTGATTCAATAAAAACGTAGTAAAAATAGCTTGCATGCATTTTTGTCGCCTATTTTAAATTAAAATTACCAAAAAGGGGTTGAAACTACGAAGAAAATCTAAGAAATTTCAAATTTGAAAATTTGAATCCAAATCTCCTAAAATCGTCAAGTGACTGAAAATTCACAATAACAGTTCATTCCATTGCCTTCAAACATTTGCGTAAACAAAAAACAATTTCATAAGATGTTTTATATCCACAATATAATGATTATCGACAGTATCGTCGCTTATTAAGTCTCCACATTTTTTTCTTTTCGGTCGCTACGCTGAATTACTATTTGCATTAATTTATTGATTACCGTGTAAATAATGGTATATATAATATAGGTATCTTTATAGGTAGCTGCATATAGTTAAATAACTACAATAACAACTGGGAAAACAATAATGTAAAGTTTGACAAATGTAGATCAAGTAAAGAGCCAGTTAGATGCACATTTTGTTGTTTGTTTTACAGTTCTCTTGTTAATGGAAATAACCGCTACCTAGTTTTTGTTTGCTGTGCTGTAGAATGTTTTGAACACTTGTAGCAACTTTAAATGAGGAAAATAAAGTCATTAGATGTTTGTTGGCTAAATAGAAAACTTTTGTAGAGATCAGAAAGTGGTAAATAAATGGAAATAAGATAATTTTAATTGTTTCATGCCGATGCAGTTTTTGTTGTTTATTCAGGCAGACTGCACGTACTAAATGTTGATTCAGATGAGATTAATACCATGAATTCATAATTGTTAATTTTGATTTGATATTTCTATCGTAATAGCTCGATAACACAATTTTTGGATATTCTCGAGCAGTTCCAAGCGTCTAAACCTCAAGAATCCCGAAGTCAATAGCACAATGAACCCACCAAGTATTGTAAAATTCAATTTTTGTTCATCTTGTGCCATAAAAGAGAACAATCATCCGTTGATTCAATTTGGATAGTAAGCAAATATCTTCAATTTCCTTTTTATAATCTGCAATTATCCTTTCATCATCATCAGCAACAGCATCAACCAACATCAAAATTTATTCAATCCACTTTTCATTTACTTCAATTCTTTTTTATCTCTTTTCTTTTATTTTTTATTCATTCCATTTCTTCTTATTTTTCCGTCATCATCATCAGCACATTGTGAGCTGCACAGAGAGATATTTGCAGCATTTATTGACTCAATGTTGCATAAAAATGCACAACAAGTTAATTATATTGTTATGGAACTATGCAGTCACGCTTGAATGGCAATGAACCAAGTTCTGTTCATTCATTCATGCCAGAGATGCAGAAGATTATTATTTCAAAGAACGAGGTGCAAGAAACGAAAATTCGCCATTTTGGAAAGTGCATGCAGCACATACATTCATGTCATTCTCTCCTAATGCGCGCTCTTTATTACTTGTTATGAGATTTTTATTCATCATGAATGAAGGAAGAAAGAACAAGAGGAAAAAGTGGAATTTCTGGTAATTTCACATCTATAAAGCGCATTTTTTTGTTCGTAAACATGATATAAAGACATAAAGGGAGAATATGAGACAGCGAGAGAAGCTAGTCAACAGAGGGGTTGAAAAGATTTTTAATGAATGGTAACCATGGTGACACATCAATGTGTGCGTTCATAAACATGCTTGATGATTATTTTTTTTAATGATATTCTCTCTCAATTTTTTTTTTGTTCCTATACATTGATGCTGATGCTGCGGATATTTTTTTGTGTATGATGTCCATTCAACATGTGATCGATTTAGATAATTGTGTATGTGACTGACTGTTAATTGTCAATTGAATACCAATTTCCATTCGTACGTCCAATGATGACATGAAAGGCATGTCTTCATAATTGATTTATTTGATTATGATTATTATTGACATGTATGACAAAAATTATTTTGAATGGCTTTATTGAAAATAAATTTATTTTCATTTTCATGATGGCGAAGTCAATTCCTTCAATTTTCCGTTCGACGAGTCATAGTGAATTGAAAATTGAGTTTAAAGTAGCATAATCGCATTCATTAAAGGAAAATTCAATTATGTTTGTCAGGAAATAGTGGCTCCCATACCTCCCATAATCTAATAGTAAATTGCATTTCCTTACATGGTATGTTTGCACTTCCAAACGATGTCTTTAGTTGTGGAAAACCTGCAATGAGAAGATGAAAAGAAAAATTCTATTTAGTGATGTTATGTAGTTATGGATTATCATATGTAAGAGTCTCTTGTGTGCTAGAAGCTAGAATTAGAATGAGTAAAGCTTATTTTGAAGTAATTTTGAGGTTAAAAACAAGTTTTAATCTGAGTTGTGCATCAATTGACATTTCAGATGCAAAACTCTGCATCATTTGAAATTTTCATGCTAATTGTTTTGCTTCTTTAAAAAATTATTGCATCATTTGAAGCGAAACCTTTGCATCTTTCAAAAATGTCGAATCAATTGAAGCAGAAAAAAATATTAATTTCAAAGTTAACCAATCCTAGTTCCTCCAGATAACCATCAATATCCAGAACCATCACAAATTTGTTCTCACATCATCAGTGAGAATATAAATTGCAATGACATAAACATCACTTCTTTATTGACTTCAATTTTCCAGCAAAGTGTCAATTTGACAAGCACTTCACTTACATTGGAAAGAATGAAGGAAGAGAAGAAGAAGAAAAATAACAAATTTATTGATCTTTATCGCTATTTATTGCTTCCTTTATTTATTGAATTAAAGACATCTGTCAGGTACTTCATTCTTTACTCTCCAGTTAGTAATAATTCGGATCAACTTAATTGCTGCTCAAAAAGAAAAATTTGCCTTGTGAAGTATAAAGTAACGATTAACGTCATGTAGTGTTAAGGCTTAATCTTATTGTATAGATAATAGCCTGTTTGTTGTCACTAATCTCTTAACTATTTTACAATAGACTTGTAAAAATGTGGTTAGAAAGGAATCAATGTAGGTGTGTTTGATAAGTGCTTCCTGATAAAAAAAGGGCAAGGTGAGAAAAAAAGGGTTTTATTTAAGGATTATCCTATTGTACTTCTTTTTAAGTTTCTTGTTAAAACCGTAAATTCAACAAATTTTTTTATTGTTCAGCAACAGAAGTGAAAGAAAAGATGCAGAAGGTAGAAAGTTGAAAGGATGCTCAAATAACACAACATCAATTCATACAACATAAGCAATAATAAAAGAAGAGATGATTATTATTATTATGGATCATTTTAACAGCATCATTTATATGTTGGCAAAATAAAACCCAACCTTCAATTCCTTTCTCGTCTGACATTATTTCGTACAACTGTTATGGATGTATTTTATTCATGTAAGTAAAATTAAACCATAAAAGGGTTCACTAAATTGCTACTTTAGTAAGATATTTAAATTTAATATGAATGAACCTTTTGAGGATTTGGAGTTTTTGAATTTAAGTGAGTAAATTTTAAATTTTGAGAATGTTTTGTTCAAAATAAAGTCAATTAATTTTGAATTTTTGAGAACCGTTAAATTTTGAAATTATAGTTTTGAGAAAAATTGAAATTTGAATTTTTGAGGACCGTTGAATTTTGAATTTTTGACAACCATTACAAGTTTCAATCAAATTTTAAAATAGTTCAATTCTCAAATGCATGCAATAAAGGTATTGAACTGCCTCAACAACACATCACATCTCAATCTAATCTTCAGCACAGCAACTCAAAAGCTCTCATTAATTCAATAAATTGTAATTTTATTCAAAATGTCTAGTATTGAAACATATTTCGTCACAATTTTGTGTTGACAAACCCAATTTTTTTTCGATTCTCATTATTCAATAAAGTATCTGGAAATGCTACAAAAAAATTGTGTATGTAAAACTCAAAATTATTTGATCGAGCCCAATTTGTTACTCATTGATTATTCAATTAACTCATCATATAAAGGCAATTTGAGTAAATAACATAGCCATCAACACATACCATCATCAAATAGCTGTTATTGTTCATTTGAATGGCATGAAGAATTGTATAATTTTAGGTTTTTTTTTTGGATGGGATATATCCAACAATTTACTTTCATTTCATTGTGAAGTGGCTTTTAGATCTTTCATAATAATCCATGATCACATAGATCTTACTAATTCTCACAAAAGACTAACAATTATTTCAATAAAGTATGTTCAGAGAGTGATTGTTATGAATTATAGTTCAAAAATGTGATATACTAATAAGTGCTCATAGAGCTATTCATTGAGCTTCATGCTTTGATAAGCTCTCATGTGAGAAAATAGTTTATTTTTTTGGAAATTATTTCTTTCTCATTTAACACATTCGCGACCGAAAAGATTCTTATCTTTCGATACTTGATAGTGATGCTCATATCAGCGGAAATAATTTATCAACTATCATCTCAAATTACAGTCAATTGCCAATTATAGTAATTAGTTAAATTTGACATAATTAGACTCGTTTGTGAATCTATAATTTTAGTTTTTATTCAAGGTCGTAGCTTGTTATTCGTTCAATAATCTTCTTTGGACGTAAAATTTCTAGCACGCGCGATAATTTGATTAAATAGTGTGAACTATTAAGGATTTTTAAAGAGCTATAATTAGTTTCTAGATAGCAATTATTGTGTCAGGCAATATAACAATTTCAAGTTTCTTTTTTTGCTTAGTTTAGAAGTTTTATGGATATTTGTTCTGTAATTCTTGATTCTTGACATTATAAGTCATCCGAAATGGGTTATTTGAATGTAAAGGATCGTTTTGGATTAGGAAGAAGGGGTTTTCACTTTCTGGGGCTTATTTTAAGGACTCCCTACGACAACCTTTCCAAGAATTGAAGATCAATGCACTACACTTTGTAATAGAAACTAAGTTAAGGTACCACGGAAAGCTTTCGAACCAATCCCTTAAAGTATGTGATAATTCAAATTAATGAAAAAGGCACGGTGCTTGCCAAAATTAGTCGTTAATTTTTAAAAGTCAATTTTACGTCCCACAACCTCACAACAATCCCCAAAAAGTAAGTTCAAACACTCAACTCAGCAAAAATTCAACAACCCCTGCCAATTATCATGAAAAAATGTAAATCATATACTCAGTGGTCAGATTGACGATATGAAAGAATGGCAATTAGAATAAAATGTGCATTCATTCAAAATCTCATGACATAGACGCGCCATAAATTAGTCATAAAAAATTGTTATTTCACTCGTCATATTTTACATGACAGATTATGATGGACATGCTGACTTGAAATATTTTAAATGAGTAGTTTAGTAAGGAAAGGAAAAGTGATTTGGAATTGACCATATCCGGTACCAACTCACTTTCAATCTGACCAATTTGCGTTACTGACAATCGATTGTTGAAAAAAGTTTTTCGTCTTTCAAGATTTTGTTGTTCTTTGGAATATATAAATGCTCGATTTACTTCTTGTGGCTGTATGTTTTTTTTTTGTGAATAGAAAGATAGATGCTTGTATGATGATCCTTATCGAATTTCGTCTTCCTTGTTAAATTTCTCGTATTCTCGTTTCTTTTGTATTGACAATTGAGTTAAGAATGATTTGAAATCGAACACCACCAATAAAAAAAGGCAAACCTATACGGGTAATCAATAAATTTTTGCTGCTTTTTTACTCAAAAGAAAATAGAATTTTAAAAGGTTTTGAAGATAATATTTCGCAAGATATTCTATGAAATTACTTGGATTGCATTACGAGACGAGATGAATGTGTTTTTGAATTATTCAATTTATGAATCTCCAAAAACGGTTAAAAATTGGAATTGGCAAAGAACGTTAATTCACTTGTTTTCGCATTCTTATAAAAAAAAAAAAACATTTTTACACATAAAAATTGTGTAGGAAATGAAGAATGTGATAATAATAGGTACAAATATCAACAACCACAATTCGCAGCCTCAATATTGAATTTACAGCCTTTTTCAGCTCATTCTTCTATTGTTACCGAAAGACTTTTCATGCAGCACAACCTCAAAACTATTTTTTTTCTCGTTTTACCTGGAAATTTTTTTCCCAACAAAAAAAAGTTGTGCAAAAAAAAATAAAATTCCCATTCTCTATCCAATACTTTCGTTCCTTTCTCTCACTTATTCTTTTCTTAAGAATGTTGTTGACATATCCTTGTACACATGGGACGTGTTTTCAGTTGTTGGCAGCTCATTTTTTCATATTTGCTACCATGTATTTGCCTCGATGCCCTCTTTTGCACTTACAAGATGTTTACATTATGTTTAACAAGACATTTCAAAAATACTAACACTTAAGTGAACATTCACAATTTTTTTTACTTTACATCCTCTTTAAGAAGATTTGTTCTTATTGTTGGGATTAAGAACTGGATTATGACGTACAGAAGGATTGAGAACATTTGCATATTCTTTAATCCTTTCCTAATCTATTTAAAATTTCACACAACAGAATTAAAAATCCCGTCGGAAGTAAGAATTAGAAATTCCCAGAAACATTGTGGCATGATTCAATAAATAAACCGCCTACAGATGTTCCATCCAGTTTCATCAATTCTCAATTTTCAACTGAAATATTTCATTCATTGACTGTCATCGAATTTTGATTTTTTTTTCCCAACAATGCAGGCATCAATTTCTTTTATTTTCTTCTTCCTTTCTATCCAGTTCTGAATTATTAAAAAATATAAAGATTGGATTTGTTGAACAAGAAATTTGATACCTTACCACAATGATTCAGAATCGAAAAAAATGTTCAAAAATTCAAAAATTTCATGTTAATTAAACTATGTCCTTTAAATGCCAGATTAAAGATCTTAACTTGAGGCATATCCTATGAAAATATCTCGTCCCAATTTGATGTCTAACTCCAGAAATCATTAATTTAATCTCACCCAAAATTTGTTTACAATTTGTGTATGAAAAAAAAAATATGATTTTTTCTACTTTAAGTTGTTATTTGGATGTCTTGGAAGCAGTTACTAGCTAATTTAAGCTTAGCTTTACATACTAAAACAACCAACTCAATAGAAATCTGCGTTTAAGCCTTAAAAATGGAATTGAAATCTGAGTATTTTTACACTACTTAAACTATTCATAAGTTAAAAAGTCTTCCAAAGACCTCTCTGAAACCTATATAAATCCATTAATTAAGTTAAAATCTATCTCCCATATTACTGAGGACATGCCGTTTGATGCCGTTTTCGAGATATTTGCGATCAAAGTTTACATAAATTTTCATACAAAATTTGATCATGCACAATATTTTTTGATAAACTTTTACAAACTTTTGGTAAAAAATCATGTTTATCCTTTATATTAGGGACTAATTTTTTGAGCAATGAACGAAAACATTATGTAGATGATGCTAAAAGATTCAAATCAAGAGAAATTAACAAAAACTTTCAATTTTCTAATGTGTTGGAAAAATATTGTGCACAAGGAATTTTTGAACATTTTTTCCAAATCTGAATCATTGTGCTTACATCACTAGCGTGCTAAAAAATGCGAAAATAGAAATTAAATCTTGACAATCTACTCAAAAAATGTGTTGAGTAGCGACGAATAGCTAGGAATTATTCTCTTATTTACCCCTTTTTTAAGCCAAACACATGCTGACAATTTTGTTTTAAAAAAATTCACATTAATGACGTCACTAAAATTGATGATGAGAGAATTTTACACTAGTGTGAAAAAAAGGCTTTGATTCCTTTGCTCATAATTAGACTCAAGTTTCAATTGAGAAAGTGTGATGATTTTCAATTGATAAGCCATTTTCACATCTCTTTTTGAACTTCAAGTTTCCACATTCTCGATTCGTGCATGATTTTCACACTCTTAGGAAAAATCTGCAAAGTGTGAACTTTTTATTTCATGTGTGCATGGAAATTGTTTGAGTTTTTGTTTTCATGCTTTCATTATTTCCTTATTTTTATAATTTTTTCTATACAATCCCGTTTGTAGAAACTTGCGAGTTGTGATATGACGTGTATTAGGAGGTATGGATTATTTACAGAGTTTTGTCACATTATTTGTTTTTTTTTAATAAATTAATTTAAAAATGGTTTCAGAAATCTAAGAATAAGCTTGGGGTCGTTCAATTATGACGTCCGAAATTAACGGTCATTTTTCAAAAAAGAACAATAGATTTCCAGGAATTTCTATTGCTTTTTCTTGCCCCCCCCCTCTGGACGTCATAAGTGAACGACCCCTTAAAGTTGACTTTAAATTACCCAACCAAGCATTTTTGAATCTTTTCTTTGAATCCAACCTAGAAATTTTGATCTTAGAACTAAACTTAAAAATTGATATAGCTTTAAAATACTCTAGAACACCTTTATATACTTCAAATTGTAACTTTAGGTACAAATAATCATTTATAAGCAGGAGATTTGTTTAAAATAATATTAGATAAGCTAAAATATGTATAGTGTCACTTGTTTACTAATTTTGAATTGATAGTTTTCAAAAAATTCAAACAAAGTTTAAAAATGTAAATAATTTAATAGATTCTAAAAAGCTAAATCGCATAATCTGCTATATCAAGAAGGCTAACCCTTCCCGTGATATTATTGTTATTCAAAACAAAATTTTGTTTAATTTACTAAAATTGCGCCAAAACCATCAAATTTCCCCACATTTTTATATGAACAGCCTCCACAAAAGAAGGAATTTCTCGCTTTCACACCTTGCATGAATTGTCTTTGTTTTTAAAATATGAATAAACACATGAAAAAGATGCTAAGAGGAGTGAGTGCTAATTTAAAACAGCAAAAAATCAATACTGCCATGAAAATTCCTTTTTATTGACGCTACATAAAATTTTTTCCAATTAACTCTTGTGGTGAGTGCCACCGAGAATAAAAATCGGATTTGGAATGAAAATAATTTTTTGAATAAATTTTCAATTGTGTCACTAAAATATTTTTATTGCATTTTATAGGGTCGAAATTTAATTTATTTGTCATCATCCCTGTCTGTGAGCTTCTTTTTATGAAATGGAAATCTCTCTTTTATTCTGAATGGAATGTTTCTCAGTGAAAGGAGCTAATGAATAATTTTTTTTATATTCCTCATTTTCGTCGTCGTCATCTCCTTCTTCTCGTGTATATGTGTCGCAGATGAATGTAGATTAAAATAATAAACAAAACTAAAGGAATTTCAGTCATTGTGAGTACGTAATTGAGTAATTTAATACTTTTGCATAACCTCGTGACCAGAACACCGTAAAATCATTAATTAATTGCCCTATTATGTCTAATTAAATAGCATATTATATTTCATTCCTATCCAAATTTTCTGTGTTTATGAACCCGCAGAAATTCCATTAATAATTTTTTTTTCAAGAACAATCATGGAAATAATAAAGGATTCATCCAACACCATCTAAATTTTAAATATAAGTAGCGTCAACAAAATAAGCATTAAGTGGATTATGGACTAGGCGCATTATTATTATTATAGTTTATGCAAATAAGCATTAAGCTAGTAAATGGATTAAGCATCAATTTGGAATTCAGATTTATTATTTTAAAAGATGTGGGTTCGAGTCCCAACTTTATTATCACGAGTTAAATATATTTATAATTATTGTGAAACTAAGTCTACCAAGATAAGACTCGAACCCACTCCTCTTAAAAGGTATATCAGTTCAGCACATAAACTATTTGGTAGCTACTAGAGTCACTTTGGCTATTATCCAAATATATATATCATTACTGACCGAAATTTCATTGCCATAAACAATATTATCTGAATTATAAGACAACCTAGTCATCAAGTCAAAGCATCTCGCATATTATACCAACATTTTGTTATCTCAAAGAAGCTGCATGAAAAAATCCGTTTTCCAAACCAAATAAAACAGTAGAAGTACACAGCCATAACCCATAAAAAAATGCATAAGTAGAAAGGAAAATATGAGAAGAGAGGCCCATTGAAAGGAAAAGTGTGAAAAATGTAAAGACAAAGGAAAGAAAAATTAGTTCTTGACATTTTGAGTGTCATCATCATCATCATTGTCGTATTCACTGATGAAAAAATTGTCTCCATCGACATACTATCCGAATCAGTTCTGAAAAATGCTTTAAAAATCATTTTTTTTTTCTCGTGTGAGGTGCATTAAAAGTGGATTTTCAGCTCTCATTCATCTAATTAGTTGCGACGCTTTTATAGCATGCAAAAAAAGGAACGCTAACAATGTGTGTACCCTATACAGACACTATTAAACGCCTTTTGCTAATTGAATGCAATGCGAAAAAAAAATGATTTAACAAAAGGCTTGAATGAATAGAACTTTTTTTTCTGCATCGGTTCCATGCTTCCAAATTAAATAGCTAATGAATACTTTTTTTATGCATTATTGAAAAGAGTCTTGAACGAGGTCAGGGATTTTCGTAGTTAATTATTGAGATTCTTTTGTTTTAGCTTATTTTTTAGTTGTGGATTGAGTTTAAATCCCTGCAGTTTATGTTGTTTTTTGTGATGGCTTTTAAGGAACGGTTTGAATGTCATAGGCAAGGGATTATAACTTTTTTGCTTGATAAAATTACTAGATTTTTACGATATTCTTTAAAAAAATGTATAAAATTCTTGAGATTTAATATTTTGTTTAAATTAAACTGTGCCTTAAGTGTTTGCATTGAAAACTAGTTTTTAATAATTTACAACTATTTTTTGCTGAAGTTTTTAATCTGAATTTTTTTTCGGACAGCAAATTTGTGCACTTTTGATATAGTTTAAGCATTTAAAACCATTTTAGATCGTATCGATGTGTAAAATGCACTTTATTATTTTTTAAAGTTTAAAAATGTTCAAATTACTGAAAATTTTACCCAAAAAATTAAAATTAAATTAATTCCTAGTTCAGCACAGTTCTTCTTTAAATTTAATGAAATTAAAACTTGATATTATTTTTTTTAAAAAACTTCTTTAAAGTTTAAATCTTGACTAGAAAATTTAATTTTAAAACAAATTCAAATTCGGAAACCAAATTTAACTATTCAAAACCTTCACTATTTTTTTTTTCAAAAAATGAACCATGTCTGATTTTTAACTTTCAAAAATATTGAAATTCACTTATTTCTAATTTCCAGGTAATCACACCTTGACCTCAAACTTCACAACAATAATAATTTATTTTTCAAGATTTCTTTTCTTTTATGAATAAAAATTCACAAATTAATTAAAATTTAATTAACAACTTACCAGCAGATTGTGGATGTAAGCCAGCTAACGGGCCACCTCCAGCTCCTGACATATTATGAGGCAAAAAAGCAGCAGCAACATTAAAAGCAGCTGCATGTGCATTAAAATAAGCCATACGTGATGCAGCCATTTGCATTTGATGATGATCAACATGATTTGATTGAGAATAAATTGAAGGAGTTACAGCTGAAATAGGACCGTTAGAAGTACTTGTGATTTGAGAATTCACAGAATTTCCAGAACTTCCATTTGTCGATTGCCGACCAGAGTCACTATGACCGAGGCCTAGAAGCTCTTGAATAGCAAACGGAGATCGTTGAGGCATTGTTTGATGTACTGATGGATAATTGTGTCGATTTAATGTAGCAGTTATCGTTTCAGATCGAATAGCTGACGACGAAATTAAAGAATCTAAATTCATAGTTTTAAAATATTTTTTCTTGTTGTCTATTTTAATAATTTTTCATGCACATTTTCACTTAGTCACAACTTTTTGTGCTCACAAAATTAAATCTTCACCGTCGGGAAATTTTAATATTTTTTAATTTTTTCTTCGTTGCACTTTTTCAGTATTTTTTAAAAATTTATTTTTTTTTTCACTTTTTAAAAATCACAAAAACTTTTCTTATTTTTCTAAATTCTAGATTTTTTTTTATCAAGACTAATTGTAAATTTACATCCGAACTGGTGCGGTGTGATATCACGATTAAACTGGTTAAATACTTAATGGTAAAATTATGTTGTTTACGTCCCGATGTTATATTTGACTATGAGGAGAAATAGAATGAAAAACGTTGATGAAAGAATCTCTCCCGATAACCCGAGTTGAGGAGAATAAAAAGTAGAAGATTGATGATGGGCTTTCTTTACCACCGCACACACTTATTCTCTCTGTGTAATGTAGAATTTTTCAATCATTAATCATTAATGTTTGAGACTTTTTATTTTCCTACAGAGGGGATTAGTAGCGATAATTTTTCATTACACCAACAACAACGTTTTTTTTCTTTGATTATTACGAAAGAATAATTTTTTCTGTACCACTGAAACTACCGTCGTGCGCGCTCTTTTTTTCGAACCGTTTTGTGGAACGTCAGAATGATTAGTGAAATACACAAATATTATGTGTGAAATGAAAAGAAGATATGCGCTTGGTCTTAATGATGATGATGATTCTTCTCTCTTTTTTACACTCACACACCAATACATATGCACGTTAAGCCACACCCATATTAAACTAATTTTATCATTACACAGATGTGATTGGATGGCATGTAAAATGGTGGGATAATTGAATAATGTTAGAAAATTGTGAGCTATATTGGTGAGAGAATGAGAGTAAGTAGATTGAAAATTCATTCAATCGATGGAATGGTTTTAAGGGATTTTTAGTTGTTGCTCTGACATCGAAGCTGATTTTTTCATTTTCACTTCATTTGGTATCGAAAAATCTACTTCATCGTTATTTAAACAGGAGAAGAGAATAAAATCAACAGCAATAACATCATCATGAGAAGATTATCATAGAATAGAGCAAATTTTGTGTGTTGGAGCTACGTAGGGTAAAAATTAGAAAATAACTCGGGGTAATAAAACTCTGGTTTTTCTCTCTGTCTCTCTCTTTTTTGTACATAAAGGCACAGAGGAGAAACAAAGAGCGATGATAATCAAGTGCGGGGAAAAATTGTTGGATGAGAAATCATTGTTATAAATAATTTTATTTTTCGGGTGAATCCAATTACTTCTTCATGTCGTTGAACATGTTAATTAAAATTTATTTCGATGTATTTTAATGGATGGGATGCTGAAGCGATGAAATGGAAAATTAATTAGTTTTGTTGTGCGTTGTTATTGCTTAACCGCAACTATCGCAATATATTGATTGGATGTTGCTTAAAAAGATACAATTATTGGAGGTTTAGTAAGTGCTGTTCAGTGTAATTTTACGTTTAGAATTGTTGAGGCAGGCTGATTGATGATTTTCGGATGTCAATCTACATAATTTTTTAGTAAGCTCTCATTTTTGTTGCTGTGGATAATTATCTCACCTGACTGATAATGGCTCTAGAATCCTCAATTTAACTAAATTCGAGCAATTTCTATTTGACTACAAACGGAAATTTTGAATTCACCCCGAATAAGTTTGGAATAAATTTTCAAATTCAAAATAACCGTTAAAAGTAGTCCATACAGAAAATTGACTGTATCACTCCAAATCCGTCCATAATTAAGGCTATCCACTTTTTGTGTAATAATTAAAATCTCTTAATTATGTCATTGTCATCATTGGCATCCTTGAATACTTTTTTCTATCCTTTCTCTTCTCCTCATCTCCCACAGAAATGTGAAATGTTCTTTGATGATTCCAATTTTCTTAAAAAAAAGTTTTGTTCACAGTTCCTGTACATACACACAGATTTATTAGCAAAATTTTTTTCCTTCATTCTCTTCCATCTCAAGAATCTTTATAATGGCACTTTTGCTATGCCATTCAGATCTAAAAACTTCTTCATCATCGTCATCATCAGTATCTTAATATTTGCATCCTATTTTCCAAATGATAATGAAACTGATAATTATCAGCTTTTGTCAGAGTAAGCAAGAAGAAGAGGAATATTCATTCAAAATGTTGTTGGCATTCTGCTTGAAGCTATATATAGGAAAAGTTTTCTGTTCCAATTTTAAGCATTGAAACGAGGCAATTTCTCGGAATTTGTTAATTAAAACTTTTCAGTCTCTTTTCAGTTTCAATTGAGACGATAGAGACAAATGAATATGAAGATGTAGAGTGAGTGGGACGCAAGCTAAACTTTTTCTACAGATCTGAGCGAGAGAACATATAGAGAATTGGGTAGGGTTTGGGTTGAGGGTGGGAAGAAAAAGCAAAATTTTTCATTTGAGCTCTCATTTCAAGTTTTTATAGTTTTAATTATCCAGGCACTTTGGTAATGATTCAATTTTTGCTTGTTTGAGTTTATGTCTATACATACATAAGCAAGCTATATGTATACAGAAGAAAAAAAAATAATTTATACCCAGAGAAAATTGAGATCTGCCATTAAAATACGAGCACAAAAGTGGAAAGAGAATGAGAAATAAGCAAGCAAGCAAGCAAGCGAGCGAGCAGGCAAACGAGTTTGAAACGGGAAATTAATTGGTGTTTATTTTAATTGGAAAATTGATTACCGGATTTTGTGTTGAAGCTGAATTAGTCAAATAATTACGTCCTTTCGTAAAATCATTAATTTATTCAATTAGCGACTTGACTTAATGAATGATTATTAAATCGTTTCTATCGATCGCTTTTCTCGTGTAGGCAATAGATAGAGACTATTAGGAAATTTCCCATTAACATTCCTTTCTGTTCTAGGTGCGCCAATTGGTTTTTGTTATTGTATAAGCTGTGATGATGTTGAGTTATTCAATGCTTGTGTATATTCTGGTTTATGGATTGAAGTAGCTTGGTTGCGGAATGGTTTTGTGCTTCGGTTCTTAATTACTTTATCACTCACAGAGCTGTCTTAGGTTCGAGACTCGGAAAAATTTTTATTTTAAAAACTTACTTGCCATCGACTCATATCTACCTGGGCCGCATCGAAAATGAATTCTCCGTCATCGGAGACCACTTTTTCTTATTTTTCATTAATTTTCTCCATTAAAGCATTTTATAATTTTAAATAGTCTTATAGAACTCGCCGAGACAAAGATTTTAATAACAAATTTAAGTATGTACAATGTCTAGTTCCTTCTGTAGAGCCATTTGAATATCCTCCGATGAAGTAGAATTTTCGGCAATGGGTATTTTGAGTCAAGACAAGACCTCTCATATCTTTTTAATTTAAAGCTCAAACTTAAATATTTCTGCACCAATTTGTGCAAGTTCATCTAGTTGTTCATTCAAATTATCATTTTAAACAATAAAATGATTGGAAGTTACTTAAATTAACACTTTAAACTTCAAAATCTTGTAACGATTGTCATTTTTTTGAATTTTCTTATGTCGGTGAAACAATTTTTTGTCAACAAAAAAAAATTTCTTTCGAAAATTGCTGCAAACATGCTTAAAACCTTAAGTTGCCAATGATTAAAGGCCAGTAGTATATTTTTTATGTTCCATTTTTTGTGGCAAAAGCGTTAAAGTTAGGAATCGATGTGTATTAATAGGATTTTCAGATATTAGATTTTGGCAAATATTCTCAAAAATGTGGGAAATTTTCAAATTTTTTTAAACCGTTGCTTTGAAATTCCTTTTATTTTTGACGCGGCCCACCTATTAGGCTCACTATGACTGTGTTTTAGTAGCTCTGCCAACTTGTCTATCGGCACATTCCAACTTTTCAGCTGATGATTTCACACATAATCACTCACACGTGCATTTGATTATTTCTCTTGAGAAATTCGATGACTGTCGCCTAATTGCTTTCGATTTTCGGAAATATTTGCATTTCAAAGTGTGATTGAAAGTGGATTTTTATCATCTCAAATCGCATATGACATGCATTTAGTATTTTTTAATTAAAACTCGTGACGATTTATTGTGAAGATGACTGTGTCCTAAAACATGCAAATGACATTTTTCAATCATGTTTCTTTTCAAATATTTTTTTTTCTTTAACTTTCGTGTCCAAAAAAAAGATTCAATTTTTCTGTGCTGTCACAACGTGTTCATTAAAAAGAATTTCCTTAAACAAAAGGCAATTCAAATTGAGTTCTCGTTTAATTCAGGTGGCCTTCGTGGAGCAATTCATCTCAAATAAAGGTATAAGTAAACAAAACGAGAAGTGTGAAAAGAGATGAAAAAATATTTTGACGCTTCTTTTCTAAAAGATTGGAATGAAAACATAAACAAAGCTATGGAAGTGGACATGAATGAAGAACAAAAAAAAATTTTAAACATTTTTTGCAGAGTTGTTGGTGAGAAATGGGATGAGTTGGAATGTTTTGTCAAAGTTTATAAATTATGATGATGTTTTGGAGTGGAACTAGACAAAGTGGAATCGGATCTAATTTAGGTTAATTTTTCAAAACAATAGGAAGGGGCCGTTTACTTATTACGTTACGCAAAAAAACGACTTTTTTTAACCCCCCTTCCTGGTTACAATATGTTACAACTTACAACCCCCCCCCCCCCCCCCCCCTGAACGTTCATAATTTATTTTATCATTAAAAAGGTGAAAAATTTAAAAAAATGTTTTTGGTATGAATTTGGAAACAAATTTTTTTTGTGAACTTTTTTTTAAAACAGACGACAGTTGGAACGTTACATACTTCTTGACCCCCCCCCTATGTTACAATTTTTCAACCACGCGGCACACCTTGATAGTAAACCACAAATGAACCAACACAAAGCGTGCGGTTCGTGTTATTTACAAAAAAATCTGTGGCACACATTTTATACAACACTGATATTTTTAAGGTTTAGGTCAGGTTAGTCAAGTAAACCTACTACAAAGCGCTTAAGTAATAAAAATCAAACTTTCATTTAATAGTT